AGTTCAAAAATTATGCTCAAAGGGAAAAGACACATAAAAATGGGGTATTTTCAGAAACTGTCAATAATTACAAATTCTTACTCTCTATATTTGTTCTAGAGATTGATACAGCAAAATCGGAATAGAAGGTGAGGATAATCGGGGTAGGCGATATCGGTAACTTCCAGATTTAACAGATTTGTGATAAAAATTTTCCCTACATCCTGTTGCGAGGCAAAGTAAGCGGATGTCCCCCCGATCGTAGCCCCCTGTTTCCTTGTCGCGCGACAGAGCAACTGCTCACATTTTGCAGGTTGTTGTTCCAATTTTGTCCTCATTTTAGTAGGAAAGAGTAAAAATATGGAAAAAAAAGGATGTTACTGTGCTTTAGTTATTTCAGTAACGTTTTGTCGTGAATCCGATAAAAAAAGCAATTCTGCGATGGGCATAAAAAAGATCGCGTAGACATGTATTTATTACAATTTGGAAGATTATCGTTCATTTGAGTAGATATTAGTTTGACGGAAGAAAATGTTTACTTTGGAATTACTTTAAGTAAACAGATGATATTTAAGTTTTTTCCATAAAAGAACATTTAAAGCTGCAAAAATCCAGATATAATCAATAAATAATATTCTTTTGCCATAAATGAAGAAATATATTAATGTACATATTCATCTATTTTTCATCAACTGAGCATTTGCAAAATATATTTAAGCAATGAAATTCTCTAATAATTTTCTCATCATTTGTATTCGATCAAATCTTTTCCGTTCCACTTCAGCTTATATTGTTTCATTATACATGTATTTTGCAACTTCATTGGGCGCATCACGATAATTTTCCTATCAATAAAACTTAATTGATTTGTTAAGTTTTAAATAAAAAGCACGTGAAATACCCTGAATATTTCTACTTAGCATGACATTCGGCCACACGGGGAAGTAAAAGATCACAAGGGTATTTAATGTCCAATAAATATGGTGATCTTCAGATCGCGTTATGCAGTTTTGAGCTCGACGACCAAGCGTAAACGTTATGAGATAAATACCGCGATCGCGGAGGTATCAGTTCTCCCCTCTCCCCCCATTTAACATCATATGAACTTGATGACCCCTGTTTGCTTAAACACAGATGAACGAAGGAATTTTGTATAACGGTGGTTCCGGAGTACATTGTATAAAATTAAATGAAAAAAATGTGCCAGGAGCCTGATTTATATACAGGAAATGGCAATAGATTTTCTAATAAAGAATCAATATGCTACATGCTAGATGATGTATTTATTTTCTAAATCTATCTATGTTATTCGAATTCTACTTTTCTTATGAGAAATTAAACAAACTAGACATCCAAATATAATTTCTCCATGTCGCAAAATAAGCTCTACAATTTAGCAGATAAAGTATAATTATTATATAAATCGAAATGTTTTTCACTCAAAATTGAATTTTTAATATCACTGTAAAAAATCTTGTATGAATATTCAAAAATTATCTTTAATTTAATGATATATTTTGATTCCGTTGCGGATTAAAAATAAAAAGACTCATTAAGGACCTGTCGGGGTCCGGGGGTTTTCTAGATTTCACGTCTTTGAAGTATTTTTGCTGCCGTATCTGATTGCTTCAAGTTCCACAACGTAATTAGAAAAATGTATCGTAAATAGTGGCTTTATGTTGAGTGATAAGATCATAAAATTAAACGTAGAAAATAAAGACGAAATCAGAATTACAACTCGGGGCCTAGCGTTCACAGGATCCCAACTTGTCCGCACGTTTTTACAGCTCCAGCTGATAAATGCAGTAACATTCTAATTTAGAAAATGTTTAAATAAAAATTAAAGTTTCGTTCAAAATTTGATTTTTATCAGGGTATGTGCTAGAAAGACATTATGCAGCAAAAATGCTTATGGAAGAAAAAAATATATTCACATCAAGAATATTGCATAAGAAGATGATAGAAACAAACATCCGAAGCACCCCAAAAATACAACGTATCAAGGAAATTCATCCTAACAGTCTTTTCTTTAGGAAATACTAAACAGTACAGGAAATTAGAAAATATGCTATCTTCCTATCCATTTACAAGGAAATATTTTTTTCTTGTTATTCTCAGTAAACGCTTTCAGTCTAAGTCACATATTCATATCAAATTGACTATTACTTAGAGAAATTGCTTTTAACAAGGATTTTATCAATCCCTCAATTAATACAAACTCTTGAGAAACTAAAACGCAAGACGGAAAATTAAACCATTAATGATAAAGGCATATGTATCGTAAATCTACATGACACAAATTTCAATTATTAATGATGGAATTTATATACTGCAACATAAGTACTTAAATACAAATACATAGTCATTATGTCTAATTATCCTGCCCGGCTTCCGTTTTGTACGGAAACTGTAACCCGAAAAAATTAATATCCAAATTAAAACTCATGAACTCTACACTATATAAATATAGAGACAAAGCGATCGATGTGAACCATTCCCCCACAAAATAATTTAGACCGTGTCCACCCAAATGCCCAAGGTCTGGGTAATAAGTCTTCTTTGAACTTCAAATTATGACAGAAATAATGTTTGTGAATCCGACCGCGCTCCCGGGCCCCTACAGAGCTGGGGATGAAATTTGCAGAAACCGGTGTGATAAAACCGTTTTTCTGTCGTATATCTTCCCATCAAACTTAGTTCGACATGTGTACGTACATATGTATTTAATATTGCCTCCTATGATATCGTCCTAATATTGACTTTCTCAGGGAAAAAGTGCTCTATGGACAATCCTGCTTTTCTTACTGTTTTGTTTGTTTACCTCTACCATTAAAATTGAAATAATCAAATAAAAGTGTATTTTAACTGATTTAGTTATCGTAATATCTGTTATAAAGGTTTTTGACTTCATTTTCTAAATCTTCTAATAAGATTTCAAGAACATGAAAATGGTGCCGACAATTTTCATTGATAACAATAACTTACATATATAAAATTATCTATATTTAAAAAGAGATAATTTTAAGATAAATTTGTACATGCTAAAAAAAAATTAATAAAGTGAGTTAATGTTTCCGAGTTCTCTTGCTTCAAATTGTTTTGAAGACTTGAAATCTGAAAATTGTGAATGACGAAAAAAAAAAAACACCAACACTATAGCCGGTTTTATTTTTTAACATAACCTTATTTGATCACCTTAAAAAACTGAGAGAATACATATGTGTACGCGTTGAATTTAGATTCCTAGTTTATGCAACATCCGACCACGTTTCCGAAAGATAAACAACACACAAACAGTTTTGATTTAAAAACAGTGTCGTATAAGATAACATTTACAAATCACATTATATAATGACGATGCTATATTCAGATATTCCTACAAATTTTATTTTTATAAATTATTTTTGGATGAATAAAATATTAATCCTTTGCAATAAACTCAAAATTCAAATAATTTTTTTTATTAAAGCAAAATATGTAAATAAAAATTTTAAGTAAATTTATGGGCGGTTACATTACCAATTTCATATTATGTAATAGATTATGAAAAAAAAAAATGGGTGAAACCGAATGTTCTAAAGAGTTACCAAGTGTTACTATTAAAGCGATGACGAAGACACTTTTCTTTTTTGAGATGATGGATGACTTGGATAAGGATTAAATTTCAAATCAAGTATCAAGATTAGAAGAGATTTTGGAATAGCTCTCACCTTTTGAGACGATAAGATTTATGCAACACCTATCACCGCACATTGAAAGCATGCTTAAGCCCCCAATAGCTTTAAGTGGACCACTTCATAGCTACCTATATTGATGATACAAATCGCGATTTCTGAAGACAGAAGGAGTACCCCTTATGGCACAAGAGACTCTTGATCAAACTCAACAAGTCCAGACATTTTAAATACATCGCCACCGCAACAGAAGAGTTTATTTTCAATACATACGTTTGTCAAGATTTTCCATGATTTCGCTGCTTTCGCTCTTTGGGGTGATGGATGAACCGTTATCTGTGGACAGTGAAGATGATCCAGGAGACATCATATCAGGCGAGGATTGGGAGGTCCGAATTTCTCCGGAGACGTGTGAATCTGGTTCTGTCTTGATGGAATCCCCAGGTTGGACAGGTAACGACATACTGTTGGAGACATTGGCAGACAGGTTTGTCAGGGTGTACCCTTGTTGGATAGGAGAAGTCAGAGTTGGAGACGGTGATTTTCCATACATACAGGCTTGGTTGCTGTTGTAAATATGCAATTGGTCTGTCATTCTGTTGTTATCCATGGGAAGTCCGTAGCTATTGTAATAGTCCAAACCGCAATGCATCGCCTGGTGCTCTGTTGGCCACCCTGGACCCTGACTTAATAAGTTCATTACGGAATGATTGGAATAATTCATTGCCACCTTGTCCACACAACCAAATATCCACTCAAGAATGCTACACTGTTGTCAAAACGCTTTTAGATTGTGGAGAGCCTGTTTGTCACGACCAAGTGTTTTGCTCTGTACGATAAAGGGGGTCTCGCTGCATCTCAAATTATGTTCAGGCGCCGTCCAATCACAATCGGTTATGCCAATGACGGAGATTTCCTGCTGTAAAATTCAAGCAGGAAAAGGCGAATTTATCCCTCGTAGTGAGCTTCAGTATTTTACAAAGGCTTATGGTTACATTTATTGTTGTATAATCTCTAGATAATCTTTCAGAGAGTTTTAATCCAAAAGAATAAATATCAGAAAAGGGGAAAAATTATGGTTGCATGCTACCTTTCTGATCATATATTTTTTTTTAAATTTTATTGCTTTTAACATGTTTCAAAAGATTTTTCGTGTTTCAAAATGCCAGCTCTTTTGTAATTATTTTCATTGCAACTGATTCTTATAAATGCCGTAAATGAAACAACGTGTGAAGCCTAGTTTATTTATTAATCTTTTCTTCTTTCGCTTACTAAACGATTCAATTTTCGTATCAACAATGTGGCTTAATGTTATTCTTCAGACTAGGATGTTTACACAGGGTACTGTTTTGTATGAAATTGAAATCATTTGGAAAAGAGTGAAACGACATTTTTCTCGATAAAACCCGATATCGCACGTAGATTAGTGCCTCAAATCACCGTAGAGCGAGTCGTTTACCGCCCGCTAGGAGGGGGTGGTTATTCTCAAAATCGGCGAGCGCATACTGCCCGACATGGCCTGCATGTGAGATCGCCACAATGTCGTGTTTTAGTTTATAGAGCATAACAACAAATTCCAGTCAGTCTGTCGTCGAATCTGTACATTCAGCTCGCATGCTTTATGGCAAAAGAGGGTTTAGTTTCTACAAATAATGTCTCCAGTTCACCTTTTTCTATTATAGAATCTAACAGAATCTAATAGCAAAAAAACCCCACATGCCCCGGCTTCCCTTTTTATTTCTGTTTCTCGTGAACGAAGTGTTTTTGTCTGCCCCTAGCACTATCTTTATTATATCTCATATGCATGTTTTCGTATATCTTGGCGAGTTTTATTAAGCGTTTTGTTACCCAGATGTATAGGTTTTAAATCATCCTTAAAATTTGACTGTTTTCACTTAATTTGCGTCCTAGAGAAACAGTTGTTACATGATACAGACGTTGAGGATTTTCCGCACTCCGAGTTCGTTACCATTTTTTTGAAGTTACAATGTAAACTGTTTTCTATTATCTTGATTTTTAAAAAGAGTTCCGTGCATCATGGATAATTTGTAAATAGCCATTAAAGTAGATTCTAGTACTTTAAAAACATTTATTATTTTGTAAAAAGTTTTCCTTTTTAACCCTGACTTTTATTCTCCCGAACCCTTATAATTTAACTGATTTTGAACTACATAAAAGTATCTTTCATTTTTTATAGGTTAGATCAGTTTCGTTTGAATTAGTGTAAAGATGGATCGACTTGGTGAGTATAAAATTTTTTCATGTTCGTTATGGATGGTAAATGTAAGTCAGTTTTTTTTAATAGCTTCTGAATCAGATCTCAAAAAAGAAAGATGTATAATACATTAATAAAAAAGCTTTAACTGAAGATTGTGAATTGATTATTGACGAATATGATCTATGATTAACAATAATTGAAAACGGAAAATAAGAAACACTTCCTTGAAATTCTTTTCCTTTTCTTTTACTTTCCTGTCTTAAAATTGAATATCTATTTTAATACTTCTGGTTATCATTGATCAGATTTAGTTTACTAAGAATTTATAACCAAAAGAACTAAATCCGAACAGATTAAAACAGCAAAACACTTCTCAAAAGAACACCTTTAAACTTTAATTGCATTATTTTTAGAAAGTTTTGATTCTAACTTTTATATTACATAATTTCACACTTCTTATGAAATAAATCTTTGCAAGGAATTGCAGCCAATTTATATTCTGACCTTTAGATATACAAATAAATTCAAATTTGCTGTTTTAAGCAATAACTTTATTAACTTTAAAATTATGATGATTTTTTTTAAGATAAAGCAATAATAAACATATCAATATACAACAAACTTTATAAAAATAATCTTTTTTGTATTTGTTATAGTTGTAATGTAAAGACTTAATTCAAGAACTAATATACAAAAAGCTCACTTTATTTTAAAGAAAGAGCTCGAGGAACTTTGTTATTAACAACAAATATATTATATTCCAGACAATTCATTAAAAGATAAATGCGCAATTCTAAGAAACATAGACAGATTAATTATCTACCAATGAACAAAAAGCTTAATATTCGTTAAGAATAGATAAAAACAAAATTAGAAAAAGAATGTTAAAATATTAAAGAAATTACTATTGGGACAGGTGTATTGGTGCTCATTTTGGTTTACGGTCTGAATAATACAATAGCAAATAATGCACACCTGTGTTTCTGCATATTTTAAAATAGAACTGTTTTAAGTGATATAGCATGCACAAAGGTCAATGAAATAAAACGAATTTATATGATATCCGAAGGATTCCAATTTTACTCAGTTTCAACGAATTCTGAGGTACAGACTGCTTCATAAACACAAAGTCCAAGCTCGCCTTTTTGCAAAGTTTGCATCTTTTAGGAATAATTTTTTCCTGGACATTACAAAATCGGAATATCGTATCTTCAAGCAATAAAAATTAAGTGTTGCAATACATATGCAAGTAAATGATTACAGTTTGTTACAAATACAGAAAATGTTATTAAAAAATTATTTAATCAGACTCTGATCACAGTAATCAAAATACTTGTCTGTAATGCATGTATTTTACTTGGGTTGGTATTTAGTAGAAGATGCATTGTATGTTTGTTTGTTTGTAATTTAAAGATAGGTTTAATTGCTCTCTGCGTTTCCAAGGCACAATGTATTTAGCTAGAATTTCATGAATATTTATCCAAAACTAGGAAAAGTAATAAATTGATATATGCTTTAAAAAGAGCAATTCCTGAATGAATAAATGTGCCCTAATAGGTTCCTAGTCTGCGAGTTTTATAGTTAAAGGTTTATGTAACATTAACTTATTCGGCAATTTACATACGCTTTTTCTGGTATCAAATGCTTCTAAAAACCATAAGATTTTTGTTTTGCTTAACTTGATACTTAAAAGGAGAAATAACCCAATACACAATATCGGTAATATTTATTTCTAATATTAAATCCAAAATACAATATATTTCTTTATCTCCCAACGTTTCGCTGAAAACTTATTATGAAATGTTCTAATTTTACATACTTTAGTTCACCTATAATACATATGTAAATGCTTAAAATGTTTTTTTTAATGATGAGCGTATTCCTGATTGATCTGCTTTTGACATACAAATCTGAGTCTTTGCAATCACTACCAAAGCTTGTACTTGACAATGGCGAGAGTAAGAAGTCCCCTTAGGCCATTTTTTTCAGTAGCTCCCTTTGAGTGCTGATAATTGGTAATTGCCAGTCAAGTACAACTTAAGGCTAGATATCAAGAACCTCAACTGTACAAATTCTGTAGTTAGTCAGATAAGAACATTTTCACTGAGTTGATACGTGCCAAGATTTAATTAGACTGGAATTGTGCTTTGAATATCGGCATAGGTAAATATTCCGCCTGTACAGATTATATATACTTTAGTAGTACTGAAGGAAATGTTATAACTTACAGTGTATAAGCGTAAAAGATTCTGGTTTTTTTTAACTTAATGAAAAGGAGATTTTAATGTTTATTTTCACTGGACAAAGACTTTCATTTTTTTGCTTGAATTAATTTTTGTTATTTTTGCAAATATATTTTTCATAATTTTTAAAAACGAATTTTTAATTTGGCGCTTTTTGAAAATAAAAAAATATTGTATTTTACGAACTTTGTCACTAGGTATAAAATGAGAAAATTATGAACTATGATAAACCTGTCGGGAAAATATTTTTTTTTTATCATGAGCAATTTATTCCTTAATGTTAATGCTACTGTTTATAATGTTTTAATAATGATATGATAATTAAATTGTTACTAATATAAACATGTAATAGGTCATTGTCTTGCTTTTCAATAGATAATTTAACATTAAAACCTGTTATATGGTAGATTTTTTAAATTTATAGAAATATACTAGACAAGTTCAAACCAATATTATATATGAGAGATATTCTATATGAATATGCATGAATATAATTATGAAAACAAAATGAATAAAACAGTTAAAACAAACAAGCAAACCGAGTTTCATATATGCTTTAAAACAGAAAATATTTAAGTCGTATATTATTTTTGGAATTAACTTTTATAAAAATTGTTCTTTGAACTACAATAATTTGTAATCCATTCCGCAAAACACGTGGAAACATCTGTTTCCTTCAATCTAATAGAATAAAAGAATCTTTTTTTGCGTCTATCCTTTTTTTTCTAAATTATTATTTTATTAAATTAATTGCGACATAAAAAACTGTACTTTTATAATTTCCAACTGGATGTCCTTTTGGTATATAATGTATATTGGAACGACATTCAGGAAAATTGTCACCTGTTGTATGGGCACTTTGAAATCGAGTACTTATTGCAATTGACGCACACTTGATGGATTTTGGTACGTTATGGTATTTTCTTTTTCTAAAAATAATTTTCAGATACATTGCGATTGATTTTAGGAGTTTTTACCTCTCCGATGTCTGGCACTTTCTAGAAAAAAAATATGATTCACGCAAAGAGTATACCTGTTAGAAAGAATATTTCATATATAACAACACTTATGAATAATTAGTCTTAAAATTCCCCATGAGAAAAGTAATTTTTTATTCTAATGATGTTCTTGGGATAAATAATTAATATATATTAATTATCTATATTTTGTTTCCTTAAGCGTTCGTGTAAAAGAATTTTCCTTTTCTTAGCTAAAATTTCTGTTAAAATCAAACAATACTTTCAACATTTGAGATAGAAACTTTATTGGAAATTAACCTTGTTCTGTTGAAGAAGATTTATTAAAACATGAATTTGATTTAAAAGAAAACAACAAGAAAATAAAAAATACCCATCCACCCCCTCTGTATCTCTCCCTGCCTCTCTGTATATCTAATAATCATGTCTAAAATTGGGTTGTAAATTGAATTATGGAAAAGAACCGTCTCTGCTGATTATTTTAGGGTCAGAAGTATTCCGTTTCTAACGTGCACTTAACTTTTCCACCAACCAGAAAGAAATTATAAATAATGTGCAATATGATACAGCTACATATTGTTACACATGTTGAGTATGATCAACATGAAAATTCTATATACGAATAAGAAAATTAATCTTCTCTGTTCATTTCACTGATTATTCATAAAAAAAAAGATAATATGTACCTAACAATGCAATGCTGTTAGTTTATTTTGCTTAACAAAAAGTCAATCAGCTTATTCATTAAATGTTAGTTGAGATGTGCAGGTCTTATATATCGTACTTAAGTGATGGGATTTGATATAATAACCCCAAATCAAGCGATAGCACTTAATTAAAGGCGTTAATCAGCGTAAGATCTCTCAATGAGTTCACACGGACACCCTTGGCTTCCCGCATGAGATATTATTAACGTTCCACACTTGTAACTTATTGATAAACATAATTGATTTTAAAGTATATAAACAATCACAAGTAGTCCCCAAAACCACACTATAGACTGAGAGCCGCAAATCTTCCTTAACAAAGTGTTTTACTAGCTTCTATCAATACGTAGGTTGCACAAGATGAAAGGCTTATGTAAAAGATACTTAAAGGAGTATCTTGTCTCCGTTGAGAAACACTTAAGATTGATATAAATAAGCGACAGCTACTTTTTTTCTGATTTGTAGTAAGAGCTATAGAGCTTCATGGGAAGTTATTTAAAATCCATGATTAAAAATTAACTATGGTATCTGTTGGATCTCAATATGTTTCTATAAGGAGGAAAGTACATTATTTGAATTATCTTTACATGCATTAAGTAAGGTGCTTGGTATCTTTAAATTGCATTCATAAAGTGAGTGCTCGGCATTGTTATTTTTTGTATTTTATTATCTCTGTTAATATTAAAAAGTCTCGAAACTTTCTACTTTTACTTTTTATCATTTAATGAGTGTAGCATTATAGCCGTGTGACATAACGGTTTTTCCACAGGAGAAAAATTGTAGTATGTATTAAAGTTTTTGTGAGTTTTTAACCAATTTATTTATCTGTAATTCTTAAAGTGTAACTTTCCTATGCTATCTCTTTATTAAAAATCTGTCTAACCTTATTTGATATTTAGATAATGTATGATAAATTTGTTTTGAAACTCTGATATATTTGTTAGAACATTCATTGTAATCATTATCATATTAATAGAACATGTACACGTCAACATAGATGATAAACCAGTAAATCTAATAAGAACATCAGCTACTATTATGATTCAGTAAATTGTTCTTCAATAACAGCTGAGCATGTAACGATTTAATGATGTGAT